CTAGGTCAGGGGACAGTGCCTGGGAGTGGATGGGAGGCCAAGTTGGTTGGATGTGAGGGGTCCGCCCCCTGGGGCTAGGGCTGCAGAGGGAAGGCAGGTGAGTCCTGGGTCTATGGGAGAATGCCAGCATGGGGCTGGGGGGACCACTCCTGACCTCCCACCCCAGCAAGGACAGCTGCCCTGCCGGCCTCCCCAGGCGCTCTGCAGAGAGGGTGGGGGGGTCCATCAGCCGCATGTCCCGACACCAGTGCCTCTGCCTTACTGTCTCTCATTGGCTTCAAGATGTGAGCGGGCTGCCCCCAAGGGGGCGGGGCCCCAGCTGGACGCCAGGCGTTGTACATGGACCTCTTCTGAGACCGCCTCCTGGCCGGGTGCGGGGAGGCCAGCCCTGCATGGGGTCCAGGTCCAGGGGCTCTCAGAGCAGACGGGGCATGCTGGTTGGGGGAGCCCTACTCCTGGGGTCTCTGCTGGGCCTGCTGCGTGTCCTCACAGTGGGACCTGTGCAGCCCTCATGGGCTGATGAGGAGGAGGGAGGTTGGAAAGTCCGGGGCCTGGGTGGTGGAAAGGGCACTGACGTAAACACACAGGGGTTAGGTTAGCTGGCCATCCCTCCCGCTGGCTGAGGAGTGGACCAACCCGCCAGGAGGGGGCGTGATGCCAGGGGAGTGGACGGCCCTGCAAAGAGAGAGAGGCCGGGCATGTTGGGAGGTGGCTTGCTGGAGGGCACGAGTAGATTGCCGGGGTGGGGGGCCCTGCACGCACAGGTTGCCACCCTGAGACTCCGGGTGCCCTGGGACACAGACTACAGAGGGGACAGGGCCCTGCCTGCTGCAAGATATAAAATGTTTATTAACCACATTCGATTGTCTTTTATAAAAACTTCTTTGGCTTCACTGGGCTGCTGAGCTGGCAGCAGGGCCCCCCGTGCCCCCGGCGGAGGGCAGCTGGCGCAGAGCCTGTCCCATCTCTGGGTGGGGCCTGGAGCCCGAGGCCCGGCCGAGGAGCCGCCCGGATGGCCCCAGGGGCGCTGAGGGTCAGGTGATGTCAGCCGGCGCACATATGTCTTTGGAGGCTGCCCAGGGCTGGCGCAGCTCAGAGTCAGAGTCAGACGCGGGAGTCGTCTCCCCAGTGGGCCGGCGCCCACCGCCCTCAATGGGGTGGGAGGCAGGCTCAGCGGAACCTCTCCAGCCCATGTTCCGCTCCGATTTGCTCGTGGATGCTGCCTCAAGAGGGTGGAGTTAGAGCAGGGCCCCTAATGGCGAGGACGAAGCTCTGGCCCCATGGGGCAGTGCTGGCTGGGCCACTCCAAGGAGGCTGTCTGAAGGGGCAGCAGGTGGACGGGCTGGGGCCCAGCCTCTTCTCACTGTCCAGCCTGGGCTAGCAGGAGGCCTGCCCCTCGGGGTAACTTCGGGGCGGTGGGCCGCTGACTGACAGAGGAGAATGGCTGAGGGGAGCCTGGCGGGGCCACGGGGTCCGTCTACTGTGATTGCTCAGCCCCTCGGCCACCCCTGGAGCCTTCAGCCCAGGGGGAGGGAGGCGCAGGAGGCGGAAACAGAACTTTCTCCTCCCAGCTGGGCTCCGAGGCAGCGACCCTGTTCTCATGGGTGGTGAGGGGTCTCGGGCCCCCGGGTGTGCCCTGCCCCTGTCCCCTGCCAGGAGCTGCCTCTCAGGAGGGGTACCCCGGTGGGGCCTGCATCTCCATGCTGACCGTGTTGGGCGTGCCGCCCCCAGCCTCGCCCAGCTCGGCCCCGTCTCGCAGGGCCCGCTGGAAGACCACCCTCAGGGGCTCCCAGAGCCTCTGGGCCTTGTCCCTCCCGGCCAGGAAGTAGACAACAGGCTTGGCACAGCTGCTGACACAGATGCACAGGTCGGTGACGTACTCGGGGAAGGGCGCCGGGATCCGGAAGACCCAGAAGAGGAACCAGTCGATGCCCAGGTAGATGGAGGACACCAGGAAGACGGCCACCATGGCCAGCACGACGTGGTTGAGCTTGGCGGAGCGCTGGTGCCGCCGCGCCCGGCACTCCACGTGCAGGATGAGGGCCAGGCAGGGCAGCACCATGAGTGGGCAGCAGACCAGGAAGACCAGGATGCCCAGGAAGGTGTCCATGTGCGTGCAGGCCGTCCCCGCAGCCTCGCGGCTCAGGAACGTGCAGAAGTAGTTGTGGATGCTGGTGACCAGGAGTGACAGGATCCAGAGGAGGGTGGCCACCACGGCCGATAGGCGCCTGGGCCGCCGGCGCCAGTACCAGGCGGGGAAGATGACGGACAGGCAGCGCTCCATGCTGACGGCCGGCAGGAGGCTCACCCCCGCAAGGAACGTGAAGAGCCCCAGGACCCTGCAGACGGCGCGGACGTAGTCGGCAAAGGCCCCCAGGAAGCCGCCCGTGTTCAGGGCGGAGAGCACGGCCTTGCTGAAGAGGTAGCCCGCGTCGGCGCCGGCCAGGTGCAGGAAGTAGATGGAGAAGGGGCTGCTCTTGATGGAAAAGCCGAGGAACCAGAGCACAAGCCCGTTGCCGACCAGGCCACCCAGGCACAGCAGCAGGAAGACGTAGTTCATGACGGCCGGCGGGGGCAGCGTGGCCATCTGCTCCATGCTCAGAAAGCCACGGCTGTACAGCTCCGGGGCCTCACTCGTGCCGGGACACACCTGCGCAGGTGCAGAGGGAGGCACCTGGTGATGCTGGCTGGCCCCACCCACAGACCCCCTCCTGAGGCCACGTGGGAGGGTCCTGGGTGGAGACTGGGGGTGGGGTGGGTGGCTCTGGAGCAATTCATTGGCTCCAGCTTGGCTGCTGCAAATGGTTGAGCACTCAACTACTAGCTGAAAGGTTGGCGGTTCAAACCCACCCCGAGATGCCTGGCGATCTGGCCGGGCAGTGGTCCAGCAGAACGTGGTCTTGCCTACAGGGCCAGGGCTGGCATATCAGTATATGAAGGTGGGCATTGGGGAGGGGTGGGGACTGTGGCTTAGTGCAGAGACACCTGTCCTGGGTAGACAGCCAAGGAGGTCGTCTAAAGGGGCAGCAGGTGGACGGGCAGCAGCCTAGCCTCTCCCCACTGCCCAGCCTAGGGTAGGAGGAGGCCTGCTACTCGGGGTAACTTTTGTACAGTGGGCTGCTGGCTGACAGAGGAGAGTGTCACAGCCTTGGAAACCCTGTGGGGCAGCGCTGCCCTGCACACGCAGGGGCGCCGTGGATCAGAAGCGACTCAGCGACAAACAACAACAAGATCAAGAGCAGAATTCTAACTCTCTGTGTCCCAGAGTCTGGAGCCAGCTGCATGGATGGAACGGCTGAAGGCGTGATTGGAAAGCTCCCATCATTGATAAATGCCAGAAAGTGGCTGCCCACCAGACAGAAAAGACACTGGTCTCTATCTTCCCATGGTGTGGACGATAAAGGAAAACCGAGCAGCCTTTCAGAGCAAACAAGATGAAAGACATTCAGCAAAGAAACACAGTGCTTGCGATAACCCCCGGTTATAACCTAAAACCACTGCCATCGAGTCGACTCCAGCTCATAGTGACCCCTACTGGGTTTCTGAAGCCGTAAATCATTACAGAAGTAGATCGCCCATCTTCCTTCTGCGGAGAGGCCGGTGGGTTTGAACCGCTGACCCTCTGGTTAGAAGTCAAATGCCTTAGGTACTGCACTACCAGAGCTAGGTTATAGACTTGTTACAATCACTGTAAAGGATATGACTGAATGACTGGGGAATCCATATGCCGTCCCCGCACAGACAGCGCTATGGCGTCACTGTTTCCGAAGGCAGTAATCGCACTGGGTCCTGTATAAGACTGTCCTTGTTCTTAGAAGACAGAGCCTATTTGGGGTGAAAGGGCTTGGTGTCTGCAACTCACTCTCCAGTAGTTCAGAGAAAATAAAAGTCCACCTCTTGAGAGCTACATCGATGGAAAGAAGGCACGGGTGGCAAAAGGCTAGCAATGAATGCATCGAGGTGAAGGCCAGCCTGGGTATGGATTGTCCTGCTCTCACAGATTCTCTGCACACTTGAAAGTTTTCAAACTAAAATGGGAAAATATTTATTTAAATTAAAAAAAAATTGTACATGTATTATTTAAAAAAAAAAAAAAAAAAAAGAGTGAACCCTGGCCATAGCTGGAGGGGGTTCTGGAGGTCCCTGGCTGGGCCAGGGTTTGAGTTTCTAGATTGTGGGGAAGTCCAGGGGGTCCCTGGGGTGGGGGAGGGGTCAGGCAGCAGCAGTGCAGCAGGCTGTGTGGAGGACTTCAGTGTTTTCAGTCTGCATCCCAACGGAATATGGTCTTGCCTGCAGGGCCTGGGCTGGGCTGGCGTATCAATGTGTGAAGGTGGGCATTAGGGAGGGGTGGGGACTGTGGCTAAGTGGAGAGGAGCCTATCCTGAGTAGAGTGGGACGTCTGCTGTGCTGCAGCTGGTGGGCACCAGGGGGATTGGTGGGCACCGGGGGGATCAGTGGGCCTAAGTGGCTGACCACCCTTTTCCCCAGAGAAGCCAGAATTCTTGATTGTAATCTGAAATACTCTGGTTTAAAAAAATGTTGGCATCTCATTCAGATTTTTAAAAAACATCGTGCAGGCCAAACACAACAGATGTTCAAGCTGGATTCAGTTCCCAGGCTGTCGTCTCGACCGACCTTGCGTTCCAAGTGGCAAAGGCTGCCCGAACCCTGCCACTCCCCTTCCCATGCCCTGGCAGACATCACTAATCCATCCCAGCTCTCCTTCCCACGGGGCCTGCACTGGCCTCATCCCTCTGTCCCCATCCCCACCCCCTGTCACAGGCTCCAACAAAACAGACAGGAAGGGCCCCGAGGCAGGATCCATTCGGCCACCTTCCAAATTGTCCCCAAAGCTGGGCTCCAATAATAACAAAGTGGGGGCTTTCCGGCCCAGCTCTGGTCAAGGGGAGTCTGTCAGCAGGGACTGAAGGTACTGGCAAAACTCTGGGGGAGACTCTGCAAGGTCAGGGCAAGCTCCATAAGGGGGTCCTATTGGGGGCAGTGGTGGATGAGTGGTGGGATTCTTGTTTCCTGTGGGGGAGTCGCAGGTTCGATTCCTGGGCAAGGCACCTCACACGCAGCCCCCATCCGTCAGCGCAGTCCCCATCCCTCAGCACAGGCTTGTGTGTTGCTATGAGGCTGAATAGGTTTCAGCAAAGCTTCCAGGTTAAGAGGTGCTAGGAAGAAATGCCTGGTGTTCAGCCAATGAGAACATCATGGGTCCATGTGCACCATTACAAGCTTGTCCTGTGGTGCATGGGCTCCAAGTCAACAGCAACTAACACAGCACTTGCCGTCCTCCGCATTGCTGTTGTTGGGGCTGTCGAGTCGGTTCTGACTCATAGCGACCCGAGGGTTTCCTAAGCTGTAATCTTTACAGGAGCAATTGCCAGTTCTTTCTCACAGATTGGTGGGTGGGTTCGAACCACCCACCTTCTGGTTTGCAGCCCAGAACTTAACAGTTGAGCCACCAGGGAAGGCTCTCATCTTCTAAATACTTTTACTGAATCAACATCTGTCTATCTGTCGACCCCCAAACCCAACTCCTAGCTCCTCCTTGCTTGTCTGGGCCGGGCAACCAGACCTAGGCACATCTTACACCAGCCTGTGCTCTCTGAGCCCGGGACGATGAGCCTGAGTGCTGGGCAGGACCTGGGCTGCAGGCCCCTGCCCAGATGAGGTCCGATCACTGGGTACCTCTTCTGGGAAACGTTGGAGGTTGGAGCCGGGCTGGAGTGGGAGCTGGAGCGGGAGGGCCGGCTGAGTCACTGGGCGTGGGGCTGCGTTCCCAGCTACAGGCTGCCTTGCCTCGTCCCCTTGGAAAAGGCCTGCCAAAGCCCAGCCCCTCCAGAGCTTGGCCTTTTCCAGCAAAATCCCCCTCACCCCAGCAGCTCCACAGATCTGTTTCCCATGGCTGCTGTCCCACAGGTCACCAGGGCACAGGGAGCTCCCAGGCTGGGACCCAGAGCCATGAGCAGTAATCTCTGCTGCCCTGCCTGTACCCTGGGCACTTACTACTACCTGCGTGGCCTTGGTTTCCTTAAATGTAAGAGGGTGCACTAAGTAAATTCCAGGGTGCTTGTCAGCCCAAGAGTGTCTGCCCAGGAAGCAGAAAGGAATTCCAGAGTTTTCTGTAGGGAGCTGGTGTGGGAAGGGCAGAAGGTGGGGTCAACCTACATGGGGCTTGTCAGGTGTCACCCAGGCGGAGACCAAGGTGGGTGGTAAATCCATGATGCGGGGACAGCCCTCAGAGGGTGAGCAGAGAAAGCTCCGTGGAGCACATGGCCTCAGGGCCCCTTTGGAGCCAGCGTCCTGGGCCTCCTGGCAGAGGCTGGCAGAGGCTGGCAGAGTGCTGGCCAGTCTGCTCCTTCGAGCTGGCTTGAAATGAGTCCCTTCAAGCTTGGCCAAAGGGGCCTCCAAGGTTAGCACGCGCGGGGACTTCAAGGGTGTCTAGTGCCCTGCACTTGCCTCATTGATGAGAACATTGGGGACCAGAGGGACCCAGTGACCACACACAGGCACACAGCTCAGCAAGGGCCCTGCACCCCACCAGTAGCCTGGAGTCACAGAGCCGCCCTGGAGGCAGGGGGCTGCGCTCCCCACCTGTCCAGGCAGACCTGGGCCACGGAACCGTCTGGTGGCACTTGCCTTGTCCCTGCTGGTGGTGTGGGCCTCCCAGGAGCAGTTTCCCGCCATTGCTGGGCCAGGGGTGTCCAAGTTCCTCACCAGTCCACTCAGCTCGCGGCCTGAACTCTCCGCCTGGCAAAAGCCACAGAATAGGTCATGTGAGGGCAAACTGTCCCCCCAGAGTGGTGTTCCGTCCCCTCCTAGAAGCCCCTCCTCTTCCAGGCCGTGCTCTGGGCCCCAGGGGCTTTCTGGGTCTGTAGTGGCAGCTCCTCACCCTGGCTGTGTCCCTCTTGGTCCTCCCCCTCGTGGAAATGCTGATAAGCTGTCACACGGCTGAGAGTGCACGCAGGCCTCGTCTGCGTCCACTGGCCTCTCCTGCCTGCGGCTCCCTCATTCAGACCCTTGCTACCGCCTCAACCCTGAACATGGACTGTACTGGGTCTCGGCGAGGTCTGGAGCAGGACGCCTTCTGGGGATACGTGCTTAGCCCTGTCATTTCCTCAGTGCCTCCTCCATACCCTGCCCTGCCTATGATACAACGGGCCGCAGCTCACGGTGGGGGCGGATGGGGATAGAGGTCACTCCCGTCAGGGGAGGCTTGCTGGAGGAGAAGACCTATGAGTGGGGCTCGTGTTGTAACATGAAAGTGCTGGTCCTTCCCCTGCAGGTGTCACTAGGTACAACAGCCTGTCATCAAGACCACCGTCTTCCCCATCAGCCCCTGCTCAGTGAGTCCAGCCGGCCTGGTGCCAGCCCGCCACACCCATCGCCCCATTTGGTCCCCACCAGCATCCTTTTCCCTTGGTGTCCTTGGGGACACCAGCCTTGAGGAAGTGAGATCCCTTGCACACATGATAACCAGGGACGTGTGGACACTTTGCACCGGAAGGGATCTGACCCAGATTCAATTCCCAGCCAGCGCACTTCACGCACAGGCCACCACCTGCCTGTCATTGGAAGCTGCCACGTGGCTGCGCTGCTGACAGTTTCAGCAGAGTTTCCAGACTAAACTAGGAGCAAAGGTCCGGTGTTCTAATTCAGTAAAAACTACACGTCCCGATGGTTCAATCAACAACTCAATCAGTACCCTCTCCAGGGGATGGCGCAGGACTCACAGCAGTCAGCTCGGTGCGCACGGGGGGGCCACCCACCAATGCGACCTGCACGCAGCTCACAAGAGCATAGCGGCTGTCCGCCCCGAGGCTGGAGGGAGCAGCGCACGGTCGCAGGAGTGGCGTCGCTGTAGGACGCTGGTCCTCCGTTCCCTCACCAAGTCCGGACCCTCCGTGTGGGGAAACTGAGGCTTTGAGCAAGGAAGGGCCCTGCCGTGGGCGCAGCCCCACGGGCTCTGCTGCCCAACTCCCCTGAAATTCCTTCCTCTGTTGAGCTGTCACGAGGCCCCCACAAGGGCCCTCAGTCCTCCCCGCCGGGGGCGGAGCCCTTGTAGCCACGCCCCATCATTGGCTGGAAAGGGTGGCTGTTCCGCGTGGGTGCGCCCCCTAGTTAACCCTCCACCTCCTAGAGCTGGCGGAAGCCAGGCTGCCTGCGGGCCCTGTAGGTGCCAGGCCTGCTGGTGACTCAGTGTAGGGGCGCGCGGTGCCCAGGGTGGCCACTCGGGGTGAAAGCCCTTGTGCGGGGTGGGGGTGGGGAGGTGGGAGGTGGGATAAGTGAATGAATGAGTGAGTGCCTGATGCGTGGGCAGACAGCGTGGGTCACCAACTGTGTATTTTCAACCCCGTTGGCTCTAGTTGGGCCACTGTCCCACTGCCACCAAATCCCAAAAAACAAACCTGATGCAACTTCATTCCCTCTCATGGCAACCCCGTGTGTGCAGAGAATGCCCCAAAGGGTTTGCAAGGCCGTGACTTTTCCGAAGTAGACGTTCAGGCCTCTCTCCCCAGGGCCTCTGAGTCTGACAGTTTAACCGTTTGCACCCCCCAGGACTCCTGTCCCACCTATTGCCACAGGCAGGCCTATGCTTCTCCCACTGTGGGGCTTATGTAAGCTTTCCTCCTGCCTGGAACCCCTGTATCTCCCCTTCACCCCCATCTTTCCTGGTCCCCATGGATGGACTCTTTCCTAGCCCTCCCTGCTATCCACACTACGCCGCAGCCCAGGGGGGCCCAGGAGCCTCTCTAGAGCTTTCACGTTGGCCAGGCTAGACCCCCACCCCCAACTACATACAAGCTCCTAGGGGCAGGGGCTGTGGCCTCCCCCACCCTGCCTGCTGGGGCTGGGCGCTGAGCAGAGAGGCTCAGAGCTCACCTCCTAGCTGACCGATTCCCTGTGAGGGTCCCCGTGCCCCTTGTCCTTGTCCTTGTCCTGCAGGGAGCATCTGAAAAGCTAGTTCACTCGTGTACGGAAAGATCTAGAAGCCATGTGGGCCCCAGATGGGCTGTATGAAAACACATGTGTGTGGGGTGTGTGTGATGTGTGATGTGGCTGTGATGTGAGTGCCTGTGCCCCTTGGGCTGGGGGTGGGGGGCTTGGACAGCTTCTTCCATAACTCAGCTACACCACTCACCCTAAAACCCGGGCCCAGGTGGCTTCTGGCCACCTGCCTTCCACCTCTCCTCTTACCCCCACCCCCACTCTGACCCCTACTCAACTCCGGGATCCTTAAGGCCCTTCTTTGCGGTCCAGGTGGCACAGTCAAGCTCCAGCTGGCCCCACCCCTCCTGTCTCCTGGGCCTGAGAGCACCAGCCTTGCAGGGGACTCCAGTCTATCCCCCCTTTTCCCAGACACGAAGGACGCCTGGGTCTCCTCACTTGGGTCTCCCTGTCCTGTGCTTACAAGTGGCTTTGCAGAGGGTTCTCAGGGAGAAGTAGCGCCTTCCAGAACGCCCCTCACTCAGCCTCCACCAGGCACCCCCAGCCTGGGAGAAGATGAGAGACCGGAGCAGGAAGGGTCCCTGTGTCCGCCAGCACCGGCCCTGGCAGGGCTCGGGACTGGTGGAAGGGGCACAGGCTGCGTCTGTGAGAGCCATGGGGGACACTCCCGGCCTGAGCCTCTGCCCACCGGGTGTCCCCTCCCGTCCTCCTCAGGACAGCAGCCGGGACAGCTGGCCAGGCTGGGAGAGGGGTGGGGAAACCCCCACCCTCAGGGAGACAGAGCAGGCCCTGGAAGTGGGGGCGGCTTGGGGCTGGGGGCGAGGCCAGCTGGGGGGACAGGACGCCCTGGTTGTCAGGGCGGAGCATGCTGTAGGGGCTCTCTGTGTCCACAGGGTCCCTGGGAAACCTGCTCCAAGGTCCCCAGACTCCTGGCTTGAGCAGCAATTTCTGGGAGTGGCCTGCCCCAAAGATGCCTGTCTCCCCGCCCAGAAGGTGCTTCTCTGACCTCCAGTGCTGAGCCTGGCCCGCAGCCTGCACATGGGTCCTCAGAACCCCTCCCTGCTAGCTGGGCCCCGAGGTTACCTGCGCCTGTCCTGATCCGTGGGGGCCTCCCCTTCGCAGGGTCTTCCTGGCTCTCCAGCCACCGACCGACCGACCCACAGGGCAGGAGGCAGGGAGGCAGGGAGCCCGCCCCAGCCTGGAAAACGCAGCTCCCAGCAAACGCACTGAGAAGCCCTCGCAGCTGAGAAGGCTTTGACGGCAGAGCCCGCCCCAAACCCAATTCCTGGCCCTGCAGGAGGGGCAGGGAGGGGTGGAGGAGGAGGGGCGGAGTGGGATGAGACTTCGGGAAGGAATGCCCGGCTCGGAGCCCCCCCAGAGCCCCACGGGGAGCTCAGCTCTCTGCCTGGTGACGTCACGTTGGCCCGAGCACTGTGGTCTGAGTCCAGCTGGGAGATCGCACCCCACGGCTCAGAAGGGCTGCCCAGAGAAGGGGCGCACTCTGCCGCTTGTGCCTTCAGGCCACTCCCAGGGGGCATTTCTGGGGTGCAAGCCCAAGAGGGGCTGGGCCCCATCTCCTCTGTTAAACTGACTGAGGGCCTGATGCAGGGAGGCTGGGGCAGTGAGGGCGCCATGGGGGACTCGGGGGGCGCGTAAGCCATGGGATTGGCAGAGAGACAGGCCCAGCTGGCACCCCACTGCCGTCACCCCGGAACCAGCCGGAGGGACCCCTGCAGGCCTGGAACCAGGAATCCCCTGCTGCAGCTGTAACAGCGATCAGATGGCACATGTGGAAAATCCCAACGCCCTGGGCCAGCCGGGAGGTTGGCAGGCCGGGCGCCTGGGGTGTGCGCTCAGCGGAGGATGAGTCAGCCGCTCCCTGGGGAGCCCCTGAGCAGGACGTGGGGGCGCCACAGCAGCCTCTCGGGATGGGGAGCCCCCAGGGAAGCCCCTCCTGCCTGGACCAGCTTTTGTGAGGGCCCTGGGAGCCAGAGGGCATTCCATCCCTGCTCCCTGCTGCAGTGAATGGAGCCCAGTTTGGGGGGGTCCTTGGAGAGTACCCAGAAAGAGGACGGTCCCTGCACCTCCCCTGGGGGCTCTCACACCTCCTGCCCATAGCAGACGCTGCTGTCCCCACCGCAGGCCTCAGAGCAAAGAAGCGGGGCTTGGACCTCCCGGCCCAGTGGTCTCCTGAGGGCTTTCTCTTGGAGGGGCTCCGGGACACTGGAGGCTCCGGCCATGCCCACGGCTGCAGGGAGAGAGGTGGGCGCGGCAGCAGGCAGCAGTGACCCCTCCTCTCAGGGCAGGCCAGCTGGGGCCCAGCTGGACCGCTTGTTTACGTGTGGAGGCTGAGGGGAGGCCGGGGAGGCCCAGTGAGCTCGCGGGGTAATTGCACTTGGACTCTTAAAAGGAATTGTGTGAGGCGGCATTGCTCCGGCGCCCGCCGCCTTATTTGGTATGGAAACTGGCTTCTCTCAAAACAAGACAGCGCAGGACTTGTAAATGGGGAAGTTGTCACCTGCCTGCATCTGCCAGTCCACCGTCACCTGGTACCCCACCTGGGAGGAGGCGGGCTGGCTTCCTGCCCTGGGACAGGCTCTCGCTCACCAGCTCACCATTTGGCCCCCGAGGTCAGGCTTCTGCAGGGACAGGGCCTCCAGGGCTGCCTTCCGTCTTTGGGTGGCCTTGGGCGGGCTCTATCCCTCCTCTGGGCCTCGGTTTCCCCACCTGGCAGGTGG